ACATTGTGATGCCACGGATCCTGTCTCAGTAATGCGGCGATAAGCAGCAGAAAAGGTTGGATGACTCAGCTGCCTTCGGTATGGAAATACAATCTGATACAGCCATGCAGCCTCGCATCCATTACCAATCATGTGGCCGTATGTAACAATCATATCTGCCTGCTCACGATATGTATATCCTGCCTTTGCTAAATAAAACACATCTCAGTTAAATCACTACTATACACATTAAACATTGAGAGACAGACTAGCTACAAATATACACGAGTGATACATGTAATCTAATCTACATGGCAACATAGCAACATATACCGTAAACTTGCTTTAAACTTAATAGCTCAAATTGTGATTGTGAGTTTTCTAAATACTGCAAATTACCAAAAAAGCTAATGCTCATAGCTTTTTATGTTTTTAGCTGTAGAAAAATCATTGCTGACTGATGCGTTGTCATGGTAACGTGTATCTATGCTGTTAATTAAGGCAGGGCCTTGTTTGCTGACTGTCTCTTTCCAGATCTAGTCGCTGACTGTTCTTTTGCTGATTGTTCTTGTCTGTTGCCCGTGAGCAGTTTTTATCACATAGGGTCAACTCTGAATCACCATCTGAGTTTTGCGCGTGATTGTACCCATTTCAAGATCATTTGGAGTTTATCCGCGCGGACGTCGAAGAAAGCACATCACGTGACTTGTCCTATCCAATTAAGTTCCAGAAACCACATATTTAATTTGGAGCTGTGTTTGTACAGAATTTTTTTTTTTAAGCATTTCACCCCAAGCAAGGCGGGAAGCCTCTAGGACGCAAGGGGTTACAGAAAGTTTAGAGCAAGATCAGATAGGGAGGATAGAAGAAAGGATGAGGGTAGTGGATAGATCAAGGCAACTGGAGATGTCGATTGACATTACATTTGAATAGCTGGAGATTATAGCTCACAGGGAAACAGGAATAGGGAAGGGAGTTCTACAGGCGAGAGGTGCGAGACATGAAGCTATTAGAGTAGAAGAGACGGCTATATTTAGGAGTTTCGACAATGAAAGGGTGAGAGTGGGATGCCAGCCTCGTAAGGCGCTGGAACTCATGACATCCGGGAACCAGCGAATGCAGCTCCTCGGAGCAATTTCCATGAAAGTATTTGTAAAACAGACAGAGAGAGGCGACGGCGCGTATGTAAGAAAGTGACTGTAGACGAGATGCCAGGGCAGGGCCAACCACATTGCATATCCGCCTCTGGAGCCTATCAAGAACCCCGAGGCAAACAGAAGGGGCAACAGACCATATATGGCATCAATACTCCACGCAAGGGTGAATTGTTGATTTGAAGATCTGGAGGATCGACTCCGGGGAGAAAAACTTCCTGGCGCGGCACAAGGAGCCAACTTTCCTTGCGGTGGACGAAGCAATTGACTCAATGTATTTGTTCCATCACAGGTCAGCAGTCAACATGAGACCAAGAAGCCGCAGAGAGTTGCTCTCGAGAAGTTGAGCGTCAGGCATTCTAATGGAGGGAAGGGTAGGCTCTCTGTGGTGATTAATAGAGAGCAGTTTTGTCTTAGAAGCGTTGAAGTTGACCAACCAATTCATGCCCCAGTTCACAATCGATTGGAGGTCCTTTTCGAGACGCACGGGCTCTCCATCCTCTCAAGACTGTGAGATACTCGATAAAATTTCTGACAGCATAGACAAGGCTCTCTCCCTCCACCCGTTTGCTCACATTTTTGTGTTTGTAAAAAAGGTTTTTGTATGTACTGAATTTAGTAAGATTTATTTGTAAGCATCTCTTACCTGTTTGTTATTCACTTATTGGCCGTAGAATATAGGCGTTTATATCTAATGCACTTAAGAAAAGAAAAAGAAAAGAAAAAAAACAGTGTTTGACAATATTAAACAATATTTCAACAGGATATCTGTCTTCAAGTTATAAACAAAAAATGTTTTTCAAGTATTTTATCATTACAAGGCAATCAACATTTGTACAAAGATTTATACTTTTTTTGTAGATTTATATCTTTTTATACTTGAAAAATCTTTTTGAATATAACTTGAAGAAGACATACTGTCGAAATATTGTTTAACATCGTCAAACACTGTTTTTTTTTTTACCTTTTCTTAAATCATTCTCTTCTTTTAAGTCTCGAGAAATAGTGGAAGAGTTAACGGCATTCATTTTGTTTATTATTATTTCTACATTTTATATATTTTATGTGTTATTTACATGTATATAGATGAGATACAAACCTTGATGCAATTTTGTATACATGCAAATGTTTTATTTTATCTTTTTCGTCTCAATCCATTTGTTGATTGGAAAAGAAGCAAGTTGAGTGGATGGGAGAGATATGCAAAGCTGAGAATTTTATGCAATTACAAAAAACGAAATCCGATGTATAAATTCAGTTCCATTAAATGTTTACTAAATTTTCCCTGGAGATTTTAAGTTCGTTCAGACATTTTTGCATCACCCCAAATTCCATCAATGCTCTGCTGTCAATTTGTTTTTATACAATTGTTTCTTGTTTACAGACAGGATTTCTTGAAAATCCTGACTTGACAGAAAATCTAGTGATTAGATTTTTTTAGTCATTTCATAATTAAAATTGTTAAGCAAATTATTGGGTTATTTAATCATTTTTGGATTTTATGCTATTCTTTTTTGTACATCTTTCTATCTTGCCCATTTATAAGTTTGCCACTTTTCTATGCATAAAATATTACTGCTACGGATGGTTTGGTGCTTCTGCTGCATGTCAAGAAGATTCTGCTATGGTCTGGCATCTTGGTTTCAATCACATTCCTATTGCTGTAATGTAGCTTTTCTTTACCTTTTCTATAAATACTTTCATAGTAATTGTTCTCTTTCTGGGTCAGTAACCGTGGCTGGCTTAAGTTTAAGATAAGACAGATTGAAGAGCAGCCCTCCCCTATCCTCCCATTTGGCATTGTGCCACATTTTTGTACAGTGTAACCCGGATATAAGAGACCCGGATATAAGAGAAACCTGGATATGAGAGGGATTTTCTCTGGTCCCAAATAAGAGCCTGTGTTAATATATATAAATTAGACCCAACCCAGATATAAGAGAAACCCGGATATAAGAGACTTCTTCTCCGGTCCCGACAACTCTCTTATATCCGGGTTACACTGTAGTTTTAAAATAAATATTGCTTCCCTCTTTGTTACCTAGAATTTGGTATCTTAAAGTACCACAAAGAAAAGCTTCACATAGATAAACACACTACTAGATTGGTAGCTAAATTTAATTATTTTATGGCTGCAATTGTCAGATGAAACCGTAAGTTCTATGCAGATAGTTTCTTCTATCACCTTTCTCACCTGTGGAACTGTTTTCTGATGTCTTACATTCCTGTTTAGTATGATTCGCAAAAATGTAAATGCAATGACAATCATTATCATCTGTCTCCTTGAAGCTTGTTCTTTTATTGTCTTCTCTCAGTTTCATTTAATCTCAATAACCCTTCACGTCTTAGCGGCTTTAATGCCTTGCTTTGGCTGAAATGATTAAAAGAAAATATATAATATGAATTTTCTACTTCTTGCTGGTTTGAAAATTTTGTTTTAAAATTCAATCCACTTAAACAGAAGCAAAAAAACTGAAGTTATTTATTTCAATTTATATAATAATTTTGCATTCATTATACAAATGAAGTACTGTTAAATAAAAATGCTCTTAAATATAAATTAAATTTGTACAAAATTCAAATTAACTGTTGCAATACAAACTTTTCAGTTCTTTTTTTATACTAATGTTCACCTAGTACAAGACCTAAGTGCCACTCAAGTTAGAGGGTTACTGTGTGGTGTTGTATGATCATAAGAAAAAATCAAAAATTACAGTTCAAGAGGTAATGGAAGGAAATATTTTAACCATAGATTTGAAGAGATCAAGATTCTAGTAACTGGGAAAACCATTCTGCTGGGAGTCTTCCACAAAGCAGCTTGTTTGGAAGAAGCTGTTTGAGTGGAACTTACTTCTTCTTAATGGAATATGAAGGATATGAGTATGATTTATCTTTGTGTTTGTGGCATGGCGGGTCCCAACTGCAAAGGTCAGGTCTGGGGAAACCAAGAGATGTAGCAATTGTCATGGAAATAGTGACAGGGTAGCAAGTGGCTTGTGTTATTTTCTTTGTGTAGTTGTCAGGTGGACAATTTTATCAAGCACAAGAAGCTTTAGGGACTCAAGACAAGCAAGTTAGGACTGGGAAATTCCAGCCTAGATATAGCAAAAATGCTCCATTTTTGGTCTGATCTGGCTTTTTTTAAAGACAGAGTATAGCAGAGTCAGAATTCTTGCTGGAATGGTACAATGAACTGACCATTTACCCAGCATGTTAAATAGGTCCTATATATATGAGTTCCACTTGAAGACTAGGTGGGTTGGAGCTCAATATATGTTCAAGGCAATTGATTGATTCATTTTCTATAGCTTATCAACCCACTGCAAGTTATTTGAAGCCAGAAAATATTTTTAGATTATAAGAATTTTGTAGGTGGGGATAATAATAATTTAATGATAAAAACTTACTAATTAACCCATACTTGGGGGGAGAAGAAGTGAATTCATACTTAATCAGAATTTGTTAAACAAACAAGAAATTATAATGTGGATATAAAGTGGGGGATCCATTCTATATTACAATCAATATATAAACTGATCCCTCATTTTGTGGTCACGGTAGTTTCTATACATTTATGTTCCAGAGAATGTAAATCAATCTAAAAGAAATGCCTGTGCAGCTAATCAGGATTTTATCCACTCTTTGCAGGTTATTTAAAGCCAGAAAATATTTTTACATTGTAAGAATTTTTTTTGCCGATGATAATGATTTATTGATGCAAGTCATGCAGATTTACTGGAAGGGAAAGAGGTGGATTCATGCCTTTCCTAAAGTTACTTACTTGTAAGTGAATATAATGAAACTGACTGGGATTGGAACTCAGTTCTCCAATTAACTATTCTTAGCCATTATACATTATACCACCTGTACAGCACCTAGTATTGGCAAGTGGTCACCCATCTTGGTACTGACCAGGCTCAATGTTGCTTAACTTCAGCAATCATATGGAAACTGGTGTTTCAATGTGATATATCCATAAGCCCCATTCAAGAAAAAAATCCTCCTTGAGAGAAAACCCAGCCGTCATGATAAGTGAAAGTTCAGGGTCTTTTTGGTGATGGCAGAATGTTATTACTTTGATTTTGGACATATTTTACAAGCTAGTCATTTCCTCATTAAATGACCAGTGAGAGATCAAATTCTAGGTCCTGGTCATCCAGACTTTTGGAGGTGAATTGTTGTATCATCTGCATAGATATTCATTAAAGATATGTTCTTAGGCAGATCATTAATATAGAGCAGAACAGAGGGATAGGAATGAAGAGACAATCCTGACAGGTATGCTGACATTGCTCTGATGGGCTTCTGAGGACTGATCGTTAATAATGCCCTTCAGGGACCAACTTGTTAGGAAGGGCTTCTGTAACATAAGGGTATTTTCGCATAAGTTAATATAACAAACCCAACTGGAATTGGAACTTGGCTCTTTGCTTAACAATTCCAAGCCATTATTCATTATACAACCTGCACATTACAGCATCTGATATTTGTAAGTGGTCATCCATCTGGGTACTGACCAGGCTTGATGTTGCTTAACTTCAACGATCGTACAGGAACCTGTGTTTTAATGTGATATGGCTGTAAGTCCCATTCAACGTAATAAACCAACTTGAGAGATGACGTAATGGTAGGTGAAAGTTCAGGGTCCTTTTCAACAATTCAAAAAAATTGAATATTCTGTTTTTTTTTTTTTGTAAATATATATTTATATTTCTTGCTCGAATTTGTTTGAAATTGGATCATTTACCCTTAACATTAAATTAATTCAATATGTCTAAATAATCTGGTATTTCTATTTGGACAATTGAAATTTATTTAATCATTTACATATGACGTTACTTCAAGAATATTCTTAGTGTCATAGTATTGCTATAAAAAGTGTTGAATCTTTATTATTCAGCATATTGTCACGCTGTATTAATGGCATATCAGAGGCACAGAATGCTATTATTCATGCACTATGGAATGCTGACAAGACACAAAGAAGAGAGATATTGAGGTGAGATGCCCTCAGCCAGCTGCCTTGAAGATAACAAGACAAAATTATTCAAAACAGTCCAGCTGCAGTTTCATAGTTAATACAACAGCTAGAGATGTACGTTAGCTGAATAGGCATCCTTATTTCCAATCAATTTGCCAACTGTGATGAAATTTCTAAAGCCTGGAATGATACCGGTGCCGCCATTTCTCAATCCACTCTAGAGAATCCATCAGCACAGATATGAAAGCAGGATTTCAATTTCCAAGATGCTTCTAACGATAAGCAGAAATGGAAACATTTAATCTAGGTGAGAGATTGTAAGGGTATAGAAAGTGATTATCTCCCTTTGGTGGAGATAAGTCACATGGGTCACATGATGATGTCACTTCATACAGTGATGAGAGAGGATAGCCATTCAGTTGGTTTACAGCAACTAAATTGAGATTACTTTATTTAGTCTGGGCTGGGCTGAGGTTAAATCTGTCTCAGTTTATAAACATATGGTGCCATTTCCGCTTAGGAATATATCTTCCCCAAATATAGAAAAAAAATCTTCAGCTCACAGTCCTCAATTTAGGAAAACCAAAACCAAAACTTGCTGTTTTCCCTTCATGAAATATGTCCTTGTTTGTGACATAGTAGATGAATCTGGCACATTTGAATCTGGCAATTTGAATCTGGCACATTTGAATCTGGAATCCTAATCATGGCCTCTCCAGAAACACAGAAGAATCTCCATATTATATGTAAGACACTTTGTTTTTGTTTCAAGATAGTTATATCTAGTAACAAAAACACAAAAAATGTTTGTTTATTAATGAATTAAAATTTTAAAGAACTGCATTAATACATTAATACTTTGTTATAGCAACTTTTGCTTTTACTATTAATTTCATTCATTGTAGTAATGAATCAATTAAGTTGCAACAATCCTCCAGTGTCACTTTCTTCTACAAATATCTTGATTTAATATCATGACTTTTATAGTTTAGTGATAAGACAGTCTTAATTGAAATAGAAAGCTCTGATGGAAATATATTGAATCTTCCATATTTTAAAGATTGACAAGAAGACCAAAGTAACTTTTATTAAAAAGTTTATTTCACTGTTGTTTAAACAAAGGGCTACAGTGTTTATTCATTTGCTTTTCAAAATGACATCCTATAAATGGTGTCCTCTATATTTTGCCATACACTATTGTAAACAATTTCTAAAGTTTTCCATCACTTAAAAGTTTGAGGTCTTCCAGGTGGCCTTCTTTTCAGTGCTGAATCTGTGGCCATGAAATTTCCAACCTATAGCAGTATCAATTTTCTATCCAGAACAGCATCATAACATGAAATGAGCTGAAAAAGGTCCCTGTTGCAATTACAGATTCATCATCATCGCCTTGACTTTTGTAATTGTAGGTAGGATCTGAATGCAGAAGCCATACTAAATCTCTTCCACAATGATTTATCAATAGCTATCATCAGCGATTCTGCTATAGTCATACCTGTCCACTGTTTGACATTGTCCAACCAGTTTTTATGTTGGTGTCCTCTCCTATGTTCATCTTCAATGGTGCCTTGCATGATGGTCTTGTACAGGCTATCATGACTGTGTCCAAACCATGCCATTTTTCTCCATTTGACAGTGGCGAGAAGAGGTTTCAACCCTTTTCCACACAAATTCATTGGTTTTATTGTCTCCAATAGAAGATGCCAAGGAGTTTTCTCATGCATGTGTTCTCAAACACTTCGATCATTCTCTCTGTTTCTGCCCACATTTCACATCCATATAGGAGAATGGAGACTACCAGAGAATTGTACAGTCTGTACTTTGTTTGAAAGCTGATTTTGCTCCTCCATATTCTTGCTAATTTGGCCATCGCTGCCATGGTTGCAGCAATCTGTGTGCAAATTTTTGAGTTGTGGGTACCATATTTAGACAAGATTTTTATTAAGTATTTAAAACTGAACACTTTACAAATTAATCAGTCTTAAAAAAATGGTTTCAGCATCAAATGCATGGTGTGTGCTTGTAAAAGTCATGATGGTATCTAAAATAATAATAATAAAAAATAAATGATAAGAGATAAGCTAGATGAAGATATCATAGCTACTTCCCCAATTTCACTAACACCACAGAGTTGCCAATTTAAAATGTGAGATGTATTTCTGCCACACTCTGTATAATATACCTAATATTATAAAATATAACATTTGTATGCAATATTTATGGTCAGATTAAAATCCTCATTTTTGTTATTATCACAACATTTTGGTTGTTGTACCTTCTGGACTTCTTCAGGTAGCTGTCAATCCAAATAACCTTCAGGCAAATTTGAACTGAACCCTTTATTTAATCTATAGAGTAAATCATCCTCATTCTATTGTCCCTACTTTCGGATATCTTATCTTAGTCATTTTTAGTGTTGTAATTGTGACGTCTAGTTCAGTTATACTTAGCTAAAAACAGAAAGTCATTATGTGATGTTTCTTTTATTTGGTTCAGTTATTCTGTTTGTGATTTTGTAGTGCCAGATCTCATGACATTTGAAGAAGGATAGTCCTTGTTAAGACCTACAAACTTTATTTGCCAAAACCGCTTTTAATCATTGATCTGAGAAAGCTGTTGTTGACAGTTTCAATATTTCTGGTTTGGTGCAGTGCATCAAATATACATGAAAGTCTCAATCTGACAAAATTATTTAAAAAACATGACCCATGTTATCTTATCAACATCTGCATTTTTTTAACCTACATTTATACACATTACAAATTAAACAAAGCACAACTGACAATTAAAGGATGCACATTTTGGCATCATTCTGCTGCCTTTTTTTTTTTTTTCTGTGAATTTGTTTTGCTCATGCTAAATCTTTAAAAAAATACTATTTATAATTCATTATTTTTTATCCATAATGTTGAATGGGGTAAATTCTCCAACTTTTTAATAAGAAAAATCTCAAGCTGATATTTAAAATTGCCACAAACATTGTCGATTTATTTAAGATGGACCACAGACTCACTACACTGGGTGTTGCTTCTACAGTTTCTGTAACAATTACATTTTTATGAAGTGAATTGCCACAAACATTGTCGATTTATTTAAGATGGAATGATCTATGATGACATATCTCTAATTTGTATTTAGATATATTGTATTTATTTTCAATTTTTCTAGTTGAATTTTCCCCTATATTGCATATGACCCATTATTAGGTTACAATAACATTTTTATTTTATATGCATACTACATTATGAAAATTGAAATGTATTAGGTCCCTGTATCAAAGATGGATCCATCTCTCCATTGATTCATCAAAGTCCTTTCTAGAGTATAGGGCCACAGACTCACTACACTGGGTGTTGCTTCTACAGTTTCTGTAACAATTACATTTTTATGAAGGGAAGTTGCTTGTCCTATTCCCCTCTGATTTTGAATCCATAGTTGCTTCTCCTACACTGATTGATTTATTTAAGACGGAATGATCTATGATGACATATCTCTAATTTGTATTTAGATATATTGTATTTATTTTCAATTTTTCTAGTTGAATTTTCCCCTATATTGCATATGAACCATTATTAGGTTACAATGACATTCAAGATGGATCCATCTCTCCATTGATTCATCAAAGTCCTTTCTAGAGTATAGGGCCACAGACTCACTACACTGGGTGTTGCTTCTACAGTTTCTGTAACAATTACATTTTTATGAAGGGAAGTTGCTTGTCCTGTTCCCCCCTGATTTTGAATCCATAGTTGCTTCTCCTACACTGATTGATTTATTTAAGATGGAATGATCTATGATGACATATCTCTAATTTGTATTTAGATATATTGTATTTATTTTCAATTTTTCTAGTTGAATTTTCCCCTATATTGCATATGAACCATTATTAGGTTACAATGACATTCAAGATGGATCCATCTCTCCATTGATTCATCAAAGTCCTTTCTAGAGTATAGGGCCACAGACTCACTACACTGGGTGTTGC